TTTTAATTTTCTTTCTTGGAAAAGCAATGTGAAACTGATCTGACATTGGAGAAGCTGGTGTGGCACGAATCTACCTTATTACTGTGAACTGTAGTAATTATTGAGCAGGTTTGAAGCTGAACGCACAGACCTTTTGTGTTTTACTTTATGTAAAGGTCTGTTTAGGCACAGTCCTGTTGTCCTTGGTCCTCACTCCAGGTTCTTTTGCACCAGTGTAAATCAGTAGCTTCATTGAACCTGGGTCAGGTACAGACCATGTACAGACCAGCACACCCTGGCACACAGTTCTGTGTCACCTGAGACCTGGACCAGTGGAGTCATCAATGAAAACAGCACATTTCTGCTGGTGTAAAAAATGATGTGTGTAAGGAAGACAAAAGAAGGTGTTTGATCTCAGAATATTCCCCTGGGATATTCCCCTGGGATATTCTGGAGCCGGGCTCAGGGAGTGAGCCCAGCACGCCGTGTGACACCAGCTGTACTGGAGGAATCCCTCGCTGCATAATTCACTATTGCTCCTTATAACAGGGCCCACGTTTCTCTGCCATGTTATACAGATGAATCCCCTTCTGAATGCAATGGGAGTTCCAGTCATTTTGCTGATGAAAACAAAGACTTAATAGGGTTACTGGGGACTTGGGGGAGGGGAAGAGGGGTTGTTTGTTTTTTCCCCTCCGAGAAAAAGTCATTTAAGCTAAATGTGCGAGGCAGTGTTTAATTGCTTCCTGCCTTGTTTGTACATAGCAATTTGGCTGTTTATTGGTTGTCTTTGTTGAGATTTTTATTGTAACTTGTTTCTATATATGCAACCAAGCGTATGTCAACGTTTAAATTTTGGTACAAAATAATGCACAATTTTATGTGCTCTAGAACTTTGTAAATATCTCAATGAACAATGTATGCTGTGCTAACTGTGTGCTTGGGACTTGACACAATATATTCACGCATATGTACCTGTGAATGGCTTGAAAAAAATCAAAATATATATTGAGGATGGCCATGAGCCAAGAGTAAATGAGTGCCGTATGACTCATGCTTCTTTAATAATTCCTGAAAGAGGCATGAATAGTACATAAAATAGACAATAAAAATAATTTTCAGGACTACAAATATTTTTTATAACTTCAGATATTAAATACTATTTTAGAAAAAAAAAAGATCAGTTGGTAAAAGAAATCTTACGTTTGAGTGAATCATTGTCATAAAAATGTTCTTAACATAGATTTTCTGTTTGATCTAATATCATAGAAACTCAGCTCTTTCAAGATTTAGAAGACTTGAATTGCTCTTGCATTCCTACTACTCCTGTGATCTTCTAAAGTTATGCACTTCAAGTCTTCATTGACAGAGAAATGCTGGTGTGTACACTCACATGATCTTAAATACCACATGCACTTGTGCATAATCTTTAAACAGTATTTCTTGGAAAATACTCTGTTTGACCATCATCAAGTACCCCCATATGTGAGCTTTGCAGTCCCTGGAAATCTGAATGTAGTTTGTGTTTCTCCCTGAATTCTTTTATTTTTATTGGAAAGTAACTTTTTCTAAGGCCAAGCTTTCAAATCTGGTCTCCAAATCTTTATTTTAATTCAGAAACCTGAATGAAATAGTCATGGCTTCCAGGTTTGTGGGTGAAAATACCCTCCCACAAAAGACAACAGAAATTGAATTTTTTTCACGTATTCTTGTACACAAAAAAGCAAAGCAAGGCACTTCTAATGCAGTGTGGAACTGTGTTCCTGTACGTAAGTAAGGGAAACAAGGACAACTCTGTTTTGAATGCTAAAGTCAAACTGGAAGAGCTCTGCTCTGGGTCACAGTTTACCTGCTCTCAAAGACGGACAGGCTGCTAAATGTTTTAACATGTTTAAAAGTCAGATGATGCCATAACTGGAGTAAGTGTCATGGCCAAGGTCTCACAGACAGCTTGTGGCAGAGGAGGGACACAGTTTCCTTGTCAGCATCCTCCCAGCATCAGCATCCTGTGCACAGGTACATGTGGCAGTGTCCACAGTGACCATGGTCTGTATTTCAGCTGTGACATCCCCAATTCAAGCTTCAAAAATAACAGCATGCCACTGGACTAATATTGGATATTTTCACCCGTGGAAAATATTTGAACCAAAACACAGCCAAAGTGGAGTTAATTGGCAGAGCAAAATAATTCTCAAAATGTAAGATAAAACATGTTTGTCACTTCCATTACCCTGATTTTTAATTCCAAAACTTAAACACTGGTACTATGTTTACTAAGTTAGTAAAAAAAAAAAAAAAAAAAAAAAAAACCAAAACAAATGCAAGTAAGTAGTCATGTACGGTGACCTAAGAAATTAACTGGGGATAACACTGCAGGACAAAGCAGGATTTTTGTGCTCATGTGCTTCAGTTCCTCTGGTGCATTTTGCATGTACCATGCATTTTTGGAGCCTGGTTATTTGTATGTTTTGCTTGCCCCGAGCTGAGATTCTCCTTTCTCTCAGAAGATCAGTGAGTGAGCAGTGCAGCTCCCCCAGACGTTTCCAACACGTCTGCATGAAGGACAGTGCTGTTCTGTACCTGCCTCTGTGTTCTCTGCTGTATTACTGAAAAGCTTTTAAACCAACTGGAAAGAAGTTACAAACTTTTCTGGGCATGTTTCTGAGTTGCTCTTCTGACAGCAAAAGATACCCATTTCACTGTTCCACTCCAGTGTATTGACCTACATAAACTCTCATCTCTCTGAGCAAACTATTAACTTATTTTTTCATTCTGTCTTTAAATAAAAGCTTTGGGTTTTCTTTGGGGTTTTTGTTTGTTTTCAAAACACACAAAAAAAATACTTCATTTATAAGCTTCACTGTTCTCTTCCCCAGGCTGCTCCTCTCCTCCTCAGACTTCTTTTTTCAATCTCTTTCTTCTAACAAATATAACTTTTAGCAAAAGGCTATAAAAATGTTTCTATTTTCTTAAAGGTTTTAACTAATAAATATTAATTAATTTGTGCTAATTAATCAGTAGGACTTCTTTTTCTTGCCTGTGAGAGTAACAACTTTTTATTCTGACTGTCCAGTTCATCTTTATTATGCCAAAACCAATCAAGTAGAATCATCCACTCACTGCTCACGCACACACAATTACAGACATAAGAATAATAAATGGAGCAGCAATTTTTAAGACTTACAAACTAATATTAAATAAATTTAAAGACATACACTATTTAATACCAGTAAATATACATGCTTCTTCTTGAAATATCAAAATCACTTGAATTTGGTGATGTCAGCATTCTTTTTACTGAATCTATGTGATACTTTCAAAATAGATGCTTCCAAAATTTCAACCAAATTTTATTTCTCGGGGTGGGGGAAAAAATCAGTGCCAAAATGTTTTGTCTGGCACTCTTTGTTATCACTTCCTTATAATCCTGTAGCAAAATATTTCAATTATGGATGCCTTAAATGGTGATAAATAATTCTGTAAGAGTTGAAACACCCTCTGTAAGAAACACCAGCATCTGCCACTTCTGCTGAGTTTAGTGGTACTTGGGAGTGCCCCTCACTTCTGAAAATTGGGCATTTTGTTGAAGCCCTTCATCACAGAAACGTGGCTCCTGTTCCCCGCAGCAGTGATCATTTCTGGACAACAGAACATTTCTCCACCTACATGGGGGCTCTTCACAAGAAAAACCTGCATGGCCTTTGTCTTTTCCCATATTGCTTTTTAAAATATTTGAGAAAGGAAAATATTGTTCTGGTTTTTTTTCATTTATCTTCTCTTTTCCTGAAATGGTCACAGAAAGGAACTAAATCAGAACTCGAGCTCGAACAGTGGAATGCCCAACCTGCATGGCTACACGTGCTTTGAACGCAGACACAGCAGAACAAGGGTTTTTTTTCAGGCTTTCTTCTGGGACACGCTTGCTTCTTTCCCCCTTCTATGCCTTGTAGTTTGGTCCTGATCCCCTGCTCTCTCATGGCTCCATCCTGATCCCTCTCTTCCTCGAGTCTGAGTCACAAGAGCAACAACCCTGCCTGCTCCGACCTACTCAGTGCTTCAGCTGTTAAGGTAAAGCCCACGCTCCCAAGGGACTCACGTTTGAATACAACCCCAGGATTGTCAGGGCTCTGGCTGGCAGTGCTGCCGAGGGGACAGTCTAAGGCTCTATTTTAATCTTCTGGAGCCCAGCCAAAGACTGGAACGGAGCTGCCAGCACGAGGGGGGCCCTCCTGCTCACTGTGCCTGACCTCCCATCAGGAGAGGTGCTGGTGTGTTCCTTCTCAAACGACTAGGGCTCTTTCATTGCGCCTGACCTCCCATCACGAGTGCTACCAGGGATCCAGCTCTGACTACTGGGGCTTAACCCTGGCCCAGCTCCAGCACACGAGCCGCACGCTGCTTGTCTCCAGATGTAAGATGCACTGAGCGTAAATTCAGACTCAGCTGCAAGCGCTGTTTCAGGTACGTTATAGAGCAGCCACGGAGAGACACTGCTTGCTCGTCCTGCCTTAGAGAGCTGGATGCATCCCCCGCACGCTTCTTCAGCTTTATTTGGGAGGATGCAAAGCAGCGTTTCACGGGCGTTTGGGGTCCCAGCCCGAGTCCGGTTCTGCAGCTTGCCTTCAGATGCACAGCCCTGTCCTGTCATACTGGCTCCACAGCCCATCCCCACAGACAGTGATGAGACCTGGCCATACCATGGGCCAAACCCATACACAGCTGCAAAGCTGAGCATGCCTTACCCTCTCCTGGATACCCAGAGAAGGGAATCTTACAAAAGCCCTGGCAGGGTGATGCCCAGTTTTGATGCCCAGCACTGCAGACCTCTCCTCCAACACGGGCAGCAAAGCACAGCAGCACTGTCCGCCTGACTTACTCCTGGTTTGCCTGGAGTGCAGGACACCAGTCCATCCTGGCTTACCATAAATCACCACATCAGCGTGACACCCCTTGCAACACTTACTCTTCATTGAAGGATAAATATATTTTTACCAGCCTAAGTCAGTGTGTCCTAACTAACTTCAAGTGACGCCCGCCGGGTCAGTTCTAGAGCTGCACAGCTTTACACCAGATTTACACCTCGGCAGCCCGGAGCCTCTGATGCCGCTGCGGCCACCGAACCTGCGGCAGGGACAAAGCTTTGCCCTGACAAGGTTCGGCTGGGGCTCGGTGCCGGACACGGGCTGAGCCTGCCCTTCGCTGCCGCGACGGCCGGTGTGGCACAGCCCGGGGTGTGCTCCGTGACTGGCGTGGCACAGCCCGGGGTGTGCTCCGTGACTGGCGTGGGACAGCCCGGGGTGTGCTCCGAGACTGGCGTGGGACAGCCCGGGCTGTGCTCCGTGACTGGCGTGGGACAGCCCGGGGTGTGCTCCGTGACTGGCGTGGCACAGCCCGGGGTGTGCTCCGAGACTGGCGTGGGACAGCCCGGGGCTGACAGCCCGGGGCTCGCTGTCTGTGCCATGGCCGGTGTGGGACAGCTCCAGGGCCGGTGTGGGACAGCTCCAGGGCCGGTGTGGGACAGCTCCAGGGCCGGTGTGGGACAGCTCCAGGACCTTGCCCGAATGTCCCCGGACAGCCCGGGGCTCGCTGCCCGTGCCATGGCCGGTGTGGGACAGCTCCAGGGCCGGTGTGGCACAGCTCCAGGGCCGGTGTGGGACAGCTCCAGGGCCGGTGTGGGACAGCTCCAGGGCCCTGCCCGAATGTCCCCGCTCCCCACGGCGTCCCGCGGGCGCCGCCGCGCCCCCTCCTGGCCAGCGCCGGCAGCGGCGGTGCCGCGGGAGAGGCGCTGCCCTGAGCGGAGCGCCCGGAGCGGGGGTCCCGCAGCGGCCCCACACGCCAGGGGATCCAAACCCCCAAAACCTGCGGCACTTCCCGCAGCCCTGCCCCAGACCCGGCAGGTCCCTGCCCCAGTCGTGCGTGCATCGTGGCCTCTCTTTCGCCGCAGGTGTTGGTGCTCGGGACTCTGAGGTGAGCGGTGGCCGTGAGGATGTGACAGCAGCTTTGGGCTCCACACACAGCCGGAACCCCCAGACCAGACAGCCTGAACCCCCAGATCAGACAGCCTGAACCCCTGTGCTCAGCCAAACAGCCTGAACCCCCAGACCAAACAGCCTGAACCCCTGTGCTCAGCCAAACAGCCTGAACCCCTGTGCTCAGCCAAACAGCCTGAACCCCTGTGCTCAGCCAAACAGCCTGAACCCCCAGACCAAACAGCCTGAACCCCTGTGCTCAGCCAGCCTGAACCCCCGGCCAAACAGCCTGAACCCCTGTGCTCAGCCAAACAGCCTGAACCCCTGTGCTCAGCCAAACAGCCTGAACCCCCAGACCAAACAGCCTGAACCCCTGTGCTCAGGTCAAACACAGACCTGACCCCCCAGAACTCGCAGCCATCACCACCAGCCTTCAGCTCGCTGTACAGCACTCAGTGGACTGCCCTGGGCTGAGAAAGGTTTTCCGATAAAAAGCGGTCGGGAAGCACCACTCTAAGTCACTGGGAAATGGCTGATGTGCAAAAACTTGCCGGCGTTGTTATCGGTGGATGAGTTTTTGGCAGCTGTGTGTCACCCCGGCTCAGGAAGATGGTTAGCACAGGGATTCTTGGCAAAGCTAAACTCATAAAGATCGCTCTGTTTGAGTGATTGCATCACCGCAGGTTCCTGAGTGACTTCAAACTCAAGATGCATATTTTAAATCTCCCCTGCTGTTGCTGATAATTTGTTCCATATTTACCATATTACTTAGGACTTGCAAACGGGGCGGGTTTTTTTAGAACGTAAATGTTAATTGAATTAGATGGCCATAGCCACAGCAGGCCGAGCTCATCCCTGGCCCCTAATGCCATGGCAATCCCTGGATTTAACATTCAGAGTGAATTTAGCACTATTGACTTTCCCCCAACATTAATCCATGGTACTTGAAAAGAGATGGAGCCGCGTAAACTCAGATGGTAACAATTTCTGATTGAGGTTTGTGCTGGCTTTGGGTCCCAAGGTTTTCAAAGGATGAGGCTGCTGAAACTGTATTGCTTGTTCAAATTTATATTGGCATCAATACATACAGTTCTGGACCTACCCAAAGACCACAGTTCTTGTATCTGCATCTGTCAAGGTAGGACTTGGGTAACAATGTTGGTAAAATAAAAGGCTTAATGCAACAAACTTTTAAAAGCACATTTTCTCAGCTGGGGTTTTTATGGTAATGTTCTTCCTTAAAATAAAACTGCAAACACCCCATAACCTCAGAAAAAGGGGCAGCTCAAAAGGAAATAAACTCATGCTGTAGTGTCCTACATCCTGCACAGATTGCATCCAATGTCCAGTATTGCATTGTTAAAATCATCTCATAAAATGACATTTAAGGTGCCATAGTTACCATTTATGAAGAGGATATCCTTTAGCATGTGATAATAGCTCTTACTTTGGAGCAAGTATGGAGTAAATAAGATCTGCACTCTTGGGATGTCCAAGCTGACGGGAGAGCCGTTGGTTCTGAGACAGCTTTTAATTTCACTTTCAACCTGCTCTACATTATTTGCTAAAACAATTTACAGAAAAAATCAGTTCAATCAATGTTTGGGAAAAGATATTTTAGTTTTGGCAATTAATTTTAAAAACATACTAAAGATTCATGTCAGTGAGAGAGTACAGCTGTCATGAGCCTTAGCTACCTGAGGCTGATTACAGTCCAAGTAGACAATAATATGATTGTCAGCTTTCACGTTAAAAATCTCATGTGAAGTGTGAAATTCATATCTTTTTCTGACATTTTTCTTGCTCGATGTCTCCTCCATTTGTGGTTTATCCAATTATTTTAATTTTAATTCACTGCCAAATGAGCAGATTTACCACATACAGATCCCTATTAATGCATATTACTGCAAGTAGTAAAGTATTTCAACCTGTTCTGGAAGCTAAGACTTCAGAAAGGTTCAGAAAGATCAGTAAGGATTCATAGAATAATTCAGGGGTTGGAAACCATACCTTAATGGAAGATACTTAGGCAACTCTTTCTAGTTCACTTAAACAAAAGGTGACTAAGAGCTATTAGTTTGCATCCTGTTCAGTTTATGGGAGGGTTTGGATCATAGAAGTGTCCTAACACAGACAAGAAATTCCCTTCTGAACCCCAGTGTCAGGGTACTGGAGCACTTTGAAATAGAGAGTACAGTTAACTTTTGGAGAAACTTGCTGAATATTTATTTGCCCTTTGCACTCTTCAATGTGAAATTTGTGTGGAAAGAACCGGGTGTCCCCATCCCACTGTACACTGGTGGCCATGTTTTCAGCACAATCTAGCCGGTGCTGCTGGTGTGATAGTCAGTATCTCCGGTGCTTTAATCCACACACGAGGGGTTTCTCTGCTAGGTCAGGTTGTCATCACTCAGCAGGGACAGTTGCCCAGATGGTGACCTTGCTGTCTGTGCAGTGCCCACCCAGGTGTGGGAGCATCTCATCCAGCTCTCCATGCTAACTTCTCTCCAATTTTTTGATTTGTCAGTCCACTGAGACCTCTGGAAAGGACATTGAAAAACTATTGGAAGTGTGACGCCGACTTAAATTTTCCAGCCTGACAGATATTTAGCTCTGGTTCTACCCTGCACCCTCAAGGCTGGCAAGAAGACACAGATTGAAAGTGCAAGTTAATACACTGTGAAGGTTCTTTTGGTGTAAATTGAGGGGGGCAGGCAAAAACACATGTAGGAACACCGAGGCTACAAAATAAATAAATTGGGACTCTCTGCATCCAGTTCTATCAAAACCTGGGACAGAACTTCACTAATTGGAAGAAGCGATGGATACTGGGAGTCAAGTGGTTCCAGCAGGAGTGTTGTTTCTGGGAGATAAGCAAAGGTAAGACCTGCCTTTTTGGATGCAGCTTGGCAGGAGTGAAAGTTGGCAGAGCCGAGCCAACAGTGAGCTCTTTAAAAATCCCATCCTTGCCCTTTGAGTTCTCTGGGTACTGCGTTCCCGTGGGCTGTGTGACTGTACACAGCAACACATCTTTAAGTACTTCCGTGCTGGGTTTGAGTATTGGCTCATGCTCTTCTTCAGTTGCCTGTGGGTAGGTTTATAAATTATGTGCTGATGCTTATTTCGTTTATGTGGTTTCTTGAAATATGCTGAAACTTAGGAGATATTTAGTCAGTATCTTTGCCTCTTTAAAAACCTTCTGCTATGTTACTCATATATTAGGTTTTGGGTTTTACAGAACCTCTTAAAAACCTCTTGAGCAGAAGATCAGTAAAGGTCTGCTGGCCACAAAGCCCACCATCCTGCTGCCACCATGTGCTGCTTGTCAAGGTGCCCCTTCTTCCCTGGTTCATTAACTGAACATTGTGGGCAACAGTGAGCAGTTAAGTAGCTAAATGTCTATTCAAAGAGTGGCCTGCCAAGTTATCAGTGCAGGCATATTTTTGTAAAGAAATATGCAGCTCAACTTGTGGTAGCCATTGAGAAGCTGAACTGCAAAAACATCAACACCACAAGTACACAGTATTTTTCTCCTGCTTACAACACAGTCGTTTATTTTGGAATTCTTATGCCAGCTGAGGACTCCAGGGCAGTGACAGCAGAAGAGTTGTCCAGATGCCAGGGACAAGAGAAACCTGTATATGTACTCCTGTCCTGAAATGGTAGAGGGCAGGGAGAATAGTGGGAAATTATCTGAAAGAATACATTCTGTGAGCTTTCCAAGGGAATCCACAGATTGTTCCCACAGCAGATACCTGCAATACTTTGAAAATATGTACAAAATGAGATTGCTAAATGATTGCTAAATGATGAATGCTAAATTCCCTTGTCTTCCTGTACCCGCAGAGATCTGCAGATTCAGAACAACCTTTATATTAAGATAAATGGTTGCCTTTCAAATTAGCTGGGAAAGCCATCACATAATAAAGTGATTGTGATGGGAGTAATCTCTGTGCTTATGGCCAGTGAGATGGTGGGCTCTGACATCAGGGTGGCCAAGCAGCAGACAAAGAGTAAACAAATAACTATAATAGAGACTTTGTTTGGAGTTAAGTGGAAAACTCAAATCTTTCTATAGTGTGTCTTTCTACAGTATATGGAGACAGGGTTTTTACCTCTTACTATGGCACCATTTCTGTGAGGAGACAGCATCTCCAGCTCTCAGCTTTATTTAAAACTTTTAAATTCTCTGGCAGTTCACAGCACTAACTTTTTGAAAGAGACTGTGTTCATCAAAATGCACAGTCTGTATAGCATTGTGCAGAGGCTGTGCAGAAGTTTCTCCTGTGTCATATACAGAATCTGATGCTTTTAAGCCTTCTTTTAAAAGACTTTTTTTCTGTTTTATCTGGAAACAAAACTTGAGCACAGGTACAGGTACTGTACTGAGGTACAGGTGTGCTGAGGCAAACCAGAAGATAGTTCTATTTCATTCTCTAACTTCTCTCCTGCCATCTGTTACCTCAAAGGTTTAGCTTACACTATAAATTTTTGAGGGAGCAAGAATGCCTTTTTCTTACACATTTGCACAACACCAGAAATGGCTGGTCCATGTCCAAGCTTTTAGGTACTACAATAAAATAGATAATTATATCTTTTTTTTATACTCCCATGATCATCATGGGTGTGATGTTGTTTTATGGCTAGAGAGCCAAGACATAGAGGGTCTCCACTCAAAGTTATCAAGTATCCCCTAATTATGGCTGTGCTTATTCAAACCACCTAAGAGCTGGTATTTCATACCAGGACTTTATGTGTTCAAAGCCCAGTTCCAGTTGGTTTGCACTGCAGCTGTTGTGAATGCATGCCCTGCTATGAATGGAGCCCAAGTGAGGCTGCATAGCTTAAGTGTTGTTGAAAATGAGACACAGACATTAAGTGGCCATCTGTGGAAAGTTTTCAGTTGCTTTCATGCTACTGCACTGGGATTCATGGCAGAACCCAGGGAGAGAATTCATTTTTCTGTGATGATGTTCACTTCCTGCAAGTGCTGCCTTTATCTTCCTGCAATCTTCTGCTTGGATCAGATCATCTAATTACTGTAACAAATCAGGGAGTCCTGTTTCTGCAACAGTTTCCTTTCACTGTATATCCCTTGTCAGGTGCACCCCACCAGCACAGAGGTGAAAAAGGAATGCTCACACTGACTGTAGAAAGAAGTATGGGGAACAAATGGCACTTGCTCAAATAATGAAAAGCTGTAGCATGAAGTGTGAGAACAATTCAGGGCTGCTTCTTAAACAATAATGGCACATGACAGAGCATGGTCCAGTGTCAAAGACACACCAAGACAGTTCAGCTTCATTCCTTTGTATATCACACTTTCGACTAAAGGCAGTTGAAGGTCCTCTGTCCCCAGGGTGGGTATTTGCAAAGCAGAGATAAAATAGTGAGAAGTATTACAAAGGCAGCAATTATATTTCTAATTGATGAGTAACTTCCACTGTAATGAAATCAGAACATGCTATACAATCCATGAGGCCCTGTGGTCTCTCCCTGCCAATATGATACTCTACAAAAGATAGGAACTAGTCCTCTTCTTGGTTTGCTGTTTTGTGACCCTGAGCAAGCTGATTTGGTACTTTACTTCCTTTTATGTTCTCAAGTTTTGTCTGTGCTACTTGTTGAGATGATGAAGCATGCACACCCTGACCTGCTGTTCAACACATGCCCAACGCCCACTGCAGAGGGATCCTGGTTACACTGCACTGACATTCACCTGATAGATTTCATTGCAAGAGCTCAGTGGCAGAAGGACCTGAAGGAGCTGAACTCAACAGAATAGTCACTGAGCAAACACTGAGTACCCACAGCATGGTGCAGCAAATAGACTGATTTGTGTGAAATCTGTTGGATTATTTTACCAATGGTTCTGATAATAAATCTCTTTACAAGACTACAGCTGTCCTTGTATACTACTGTATATGTGTCCTTGCTGTTTTGAAAATTTTCAAAGCAGCCTTTTCCAACATTTTCAGTCCACATTACAATAGCCTTATCTCCTTGTACAAAATGGCTTGTCTAGTGAATGATTTACTTTAAACCAATCAAATCAAAGCCAACCTTCATTATGAGCAGCAGCACATGGCACAGCAGGATTTTAAAGCACTGACAGGCATTTCAGAGCTCAGTTTTCAGCCCTATCATAGATTTGTGCAACCATCTCTTCAGTTCAGGGGGTGAGTGGCTGCACCTCTATCAGCAATGAGCCATGCAGCCCAGGTGGAGAACAGTCAGGTTGTCCTGCACCTTGGGAGAGAGGGTGAGATGGGCTGCTTTAGCCACCAAATCTGCCTCTTCCCACTGTAGTTTTGCCACTGGTTTGAGCATATCAGGGTTCTACTTACTTGATAATATGCCAGGACAGTGGTTCAGTGACAGGAAGCTGTTCTGAGGGTTTGCTCCCCTTGAACATTCGTTGGCAGCATCCCTCCTGGGGATACCCGTGTGTACAAGCATGCACACTCCCATCGGCTGCTTTTTCATCAGCTAGGCAAACAGGGATCTCAGGCAATCAGGAGGCTTGATTGCTCTTTGTTGCTGTCTTTTGGAAGGCTCTGTTGCCCATTAAAATGCATGGGAGGTTTTTCTGTCACTTCGCAGGCTTCTTGAACTAAACCCCTTCCAATGTCAGGATCTAAGCTGCAGGTTCAGGCTCTTACCTTTAAAATCTGTGCATTAAATGCCTTGTATCTTACCTGGTATAGTTATTGAAGTAATCAATGAACATTCTTTCTACTATTTACATTTATCCTTCCAAGCTGAGAGATCATGCACCACTGGCATTGAAAAGGCTGAATGATCTGCCCTGGTTCATGCTTCCGAATAAAACTGACAGCTATGGGATGGAAATGTTCGGCTCATGTTTTAATTTGCTGCAGGAAAGATTTATCAGAGGAGAAGTCTTTGACTCAGTTTTGTCCTACTGGGGTCTCTCTGTACAAGCTACAGAGGGAAAGGAGGGGTCCCAAGCGCTGATATTTTCAGGTGTCTCTTGCTCTCCCAGTTCCAGCCAGTGGGATTTTAGGATAACTCACAGCACAGAGCTGCAGCCCGAGCAGAGGTGTTGTAAGGGCTGCTCAGGGATTGCTGCAGAGCAGGGCTAGGGGCAAGGGGAGGCTGGGCACCTCGAGGTACCGCATCCACTCTCAGGGAGCGGGCAGGGAGCAGAGGATCCCTCAGGATGCTGCGGATGCAGCACGAGTGGCTCTGCCGGCTGCAGGAGCTGCTCAGAGGCACCGCGGCCAGGGAAGGGCAGGGCGGGCGGGGGGCTGGCACAGCCGGGGCTGGCACAGCCGGGGCTGGCAGAACCGGGGCTGGCAGTGCCGGGGCTGGCACAGCCGGGGCTGGTAGTGCCGGGGTTGGCACAGCCGGGGCTGGCACAGCCGGGGCTGGCAGTGCCGGGGCTGGTAGTGCCGGGGTTGGCACAGCCGGGGGGTGGCACAGCCGGGGTTGGCACAGCCGGGGCTGGCACAGCCGGGGACTGGCAGTGCCGGGGCTGGCAGAACCGGGGCTGGCAGAACCGGGGCTGGCAGTGCCGGGGGGTGGTAGAACCGGGGCTGGCAGTGCCGGGGCTGTCACAGCCGGGGCTGGCACAGCCGGGGACTGGCAGTGCCGGGGCTGGCAGAACCGGGGTTGGCACAGCCGGGGGGTGGCAGTGCCGGGGCTGGCAGTGCCGGGGCTGGCACAGCCGGGTTGGCACAGCCGGGGCTGGCAGTGCCGGGGCTGGTAGAACCGGGGGTTGGCAGTGCCGGGGTTGGCACAGCCGGGGCCGGCGGGGCTGAGCCGGGCCCTGCCCTGGGCTGTTCTCCACGCAGGGAGCCGCGGCCCGCGGGCCTGGGGGCAGGGCGGCTGTCTATTTTTAGTGAGGGTTTTATAGAGTGGATCCCTGCGGTCTGGCTCCACACTGAAATATTGTCCTAGTCTCAATGACATAAACACAGGGCCAGCCTGTGATCCTGGCGCCAGCTTCAGCTTAGGGAATGTGAATGAAAGTACCAGTGGGGTCCAGGCAAGGAGAAGAAAAAAAATCCTGACTGTAATTACAAATAAATCCCAAACCCTTTCGCTCTCATGGCTCACTTAGTGCAGCAAATAGCCTCTGATTCTCTACAAATAAGTCCCAGCTTAGTTACTGACAGATCTACCAAGAGGCAGTTAATGGAATAATGACTAAGGGAAGCTTAGGGTAATTTACAAACAGTTCCCGGTGTTGGAGGGTGATTGCCCCCACCTCGCCCCCCTCCCTGCTCCCTTCAGCTCCTGCAGCGGTAAGCACCAGGCAGGACCTAAGCCTGGGCACACCAGGGCTCTCTTCGGCTCCTCGGGGAAGGCTGCTATTTATTTATTTATTTGTTTGTTTGTTTATTCGAGAGATCTCACACAAGAATGATGACTAGTGAACTCCAATATTTGTCTCCCTAAGGAGAGCAGTTTAGATTATGGTCTGCTGAGCAAGGTTATTCCTACCTTCTTTTTTGATGAGAAAAGTGGGGAGATCTTAAGTGAAAGTGGCATAAAAAGCCATCCCTGCAATGAGATGCTTTAAATGCAGCATTCTTCCTTTTGCTTCTTTTTCTGTTACAAAAGCATCTCTCTTTGAATTCCTTGTCTGAGCCTCATCATTTCAACTCATATTTGAGATGAAATGCTCATTTTGTTGAGCAAAGTTAACCCTCATGTTCAAAGTAGAGAGAACTCTTTGGCACTTCAAGAGTCATCAGTGCAATGCTCTTTTTTGTTAAATTTTGATATTTTTGTAAATCAGAACAGAATTATGTGTCTGGAACACTACTCTGTCAAGAATGGGAGAAATGGGAAGGCTGTTTCTTCATGGGAACAATTGTACACGCACAGAACACATGTAAAGAGAACAAATAATAGTCAAAATATATGCCATTGTGTCTGGCATGTTATTGAACTGCTGATGTGTTTATTACCAGAACAAGTACTTCAGAGGTGATGTGGCTTCAGGACACATGCTAGGCAGCAAAGATACTCAGCTGAAGTGTTATTTCAGTGGTGCTTGGAAGAAAATCATCCTGACCTATGTCTAAACCTGCCATAAGGCTATCCTGACCTATGCAGGAAAGCCTAGCTGCTTGTTAGTCCTGTGATGGGTTGGTTTTTTCTTCCTGTGCCATCCTAGTCTTTCCGAGTATCTGTGTTCAAAGGAGGAGGGTAACAGTCACTTATTAGTTTTCTATTTAAAAAAATAACACGAAGTTCCTATTCAGGCTTATCAGAGGAACTTCACTGTACATAAGCAAAGCTGTGCTGTGTGCAAAGCAGTAATTTGTGACTTTTCTGTGTGCTGTGGGGCTTTTTGTCTTATATTCCTGCTGTACCCTCCTCTACCCCTTGTCAATTCTCCTTTAGAGACTGTGGTATTATGGAATGTTTCTCAATATCCAAAAGCTTTTAACTCTATCCTGTAATTGATGTTTTGTGTAAATTGCAATAAAGGAAGGATATTTTTTAAAAGGGGGGGGGGATGGGGAACGACAAACGACCAACATATTTAATGAGGATGAGTAAACACACCCAAGATGTAACTGTAGATATAAGAAAAATAAAAGCAGCTGGGGGGCTTCTGAGACATTGTTTGTCTTGAAAGTGATGAGAAGAGTCACCATCAAAAGACTTGTTTTACTACAGTCATGCCTCATTATGGGCAAGGAGAGTGTGGGGAAGGGGAGGGGTGGGGGTTCCATACGTGACCAGGTTGCCGGAGGAGAGAACCTAACTCGTTTGCATGGCCTAATTAATCCCTGAACCCAGTCAAAGCCTGAGTCAGAGGGAGAGAGCAAATGTCAGATCTGTGTCTGGGAAGCCTGGATTCATTATTTTACTCGCCTGGGTCCCTTTGCCTTCAGTCGCAAAGACTTGAAACTCCCAAGTCAAAGAAACACATCCCAGAGATTCCTACTGAACATCAGCAGATTTGGAATCAGTCTCAGACACAAATGTCTGCTTCTGTATTTGAATGAATCCCATAACCCCACGAGTGTGCCTGTTTCATCATGTGTGAGAGAAAGGGGAAATCATTCCACGTGCCACTAAAGGTACAAGTTTCTTTGAGAAGTCTCCTATTGAACATGGAGCTTTTCACAGCCAGCCCAGCCACTGTGGGTTTGTATCTTGAGACGTTTTGTAGTGGCTGCAGAGATAATGCTATGCACACAACTCTGGCTGGTCATTGTGATCCACTTCTTTTTTAAGAAATCGGATTCCCTGAAGGGATAAAGTATAAGAAGCTGGAAAGGAGTGATAATACAAAATGCTGGGGAATGACATGCAGTTTAATCTTTTTCTAGTTACCTCAGCTCCTTCATCCTTGTACATTTTCAAATTTAAAAGATTTGTAATAAAGCAGTGGTTCTGAATTTGTGGGACCTTCTGCTGTTGCATTAATTCTTGATGCAAAACCCTTGTCAGAAGTTGTTTTATATACAGGCTAAATTCTGCTCTTTTATTGCACTGTAGCCAGGATACTTCTTGTGGGCATAAAGTGCAGCCATTCCACACTTAGTCCAGGATTTCTGAGTCAGTTATATTTGGGGTCCTGTTCCCTCTGGCTCTCTGATCAGGATTAGATCCTGCCTCTTGGACTTTGTACTTCCACAAAACCCGTGAGTCTCTTGGAACCTTTTACACCGGAGACTGAGGCAACATTTACTGAGTGCAGGGGACCTGGGGGCTCAGGACTGAGTTGATAGAAGTACTTTTAAAATAAGTTTCAGTTTTCCTTCGTTCATAACTAACAGGGTAAATATGATGTAATTGGATTTATTTTTTTCCTCTTCACCCCCACTGGAGCCAGGAAAATGAAGTAGTTGAGAGAAAAGGGGTTGTCATTTTCAGTCAAGCAGTCATTCATCATGTAGCATTAGACAATTAGCAATAAAACATTTGAAGGGCTCCATTGGTGCTAAAAGGGCGAGCGGGTCTTTTTAAATATCAGAGGTGAGAAATGTTATGTATCAGGGTTATTCAGTAGCTGGCATCAATGAATCACTCCCATGCACACAGGGCTTGATTGGGGGAGGTTGCTGTATTTTTCGCTTCATTGAATCTTTGTCCCTCAGTTGTCTTTAGCATTTTATAAAAAAGGAATAGTAAAAACTTGGTTTATCTCAATAGATGTTTCTCTTAATGACCAGGCTGACTAAAATGAATACATACATTCCTATTTGGCATGTGTATATATATGTAATATATGCTGTCACAGGGAGTTTGGATAAACAATGTTGCCTGTGTGGAGATTCAGATCCCCTTCAGGAGCCATTGCTTGTAAATATAAGTGTCATTTTTTAACATAAAAAATACCTTGGTTTCTGTTTCATCTTTTCCAATTCTCCCACTGGCTTCCCTGCCTGTAATGAATTGGTCTGCACACTGTGAGATGCTGGTCTCTTCTCTTGACTGCTGAGATGTTAGGATTTGGCACAAAAAGTAGGATGTTGGGTGGGGTAGAGGAGGGGGAGGATTTAGAAGAACTTTGGGTTTCCTCTGTTGCAAACCTTTTGCATAAATAAATAAATAATTAAAACTAATTCCTCCAAGTGGGGTTGTAGCCAAGAAAACTTTGTTCTGAGAGATTCAGATTTATGGCAGAAGACACTGCTGAGAGAAAAAGCAAGAAACAGAGACAGTGGAGTTCCACCTCCCATGATATATAGAGCCAAGGGAGGTATAAATACCCGTCACTTCCCGGACCCTCTTTAAAAAAAAAAGACAAACACCCAGGATCCTGTCTCTGGCTGGCTTGCAGCAAGGCGCCCTCATAAAAGCTAAGATAAACAGTTTATCAGCAGATGAATGCACAAGCTCTGGTCTAAAGACAAAAGTCTATACCTTAGGAAAAATGCAGAAGCAGGAAGAGTGGGCTGAGAATCAAGGAGACACAGTATTTTAGGAAGAAGAATGACATTAAATGAGAAAAATACAGTAATTCTTTAAGGACATTTTAAAGGCAATGGATACATCTATGTATAGCTGTACTAAGAAATAACTGGTTTTTATTTGTGGGGTATACTTTTATTTTGTTTTGTTTTGTTTTTTCTTCATTGTTTTAATGCATTAGTCATCTTAGAATTTACTCCACTATTAAACATTCATCCCAGAGCTTAGTTTCAAAGTACATTATTTATATGTTATTTATCACTGTAGATACAGGTTCTTGGCCAAATGTCTCCTTCCCTGTCTCCATTCTGATGGGATTTCAAGGTAGAATTTTGCTCTCTCAAAGTATGTTTTACCTTCCAATATTTTTGATTCAAAACTGTTTTCCTTCAGAGCAGCTGATCACCTGCTAACATTGTCATCCTCAGCACAGTCCTTATTCTGTGTATCAGAAAAGGGGCAGGGAAATTGATAAGGTATCTTCCTCATGAGGGAAGAGGGACAGAACACCACATTTCAAAGATTCAGCAGGATCTTTCTGAATCTTTCCACTTAAAGAATGCAGTTTCAAAGTAGCAGAATGGTGATTTTTTTTACCTGTGGTACATGGATTCCAGGGAAGGTCATAGATGACCCTTGATAGCTCATAATGTAGATTTGTCATCAAATATATTTGGACTATGTAAAATGGCTGCAAGCTGTGCATCTCCTTTAGAATTTCTTTAGGGATTCAGTTTTTAAAGAAAAGGTAGAAAATAAGTTCTTTATAAAATTTATACAGCTGTATAAAGGAAGAGGAAACTAGCAGCTTGCTAGAACCTAAGACTAAAACTGGAGTGGTTTTAATTCAGTTGTCTGCTCTTTCAAACACAGGTTTCCTTTGCAATTTTAGTAAAACAGGAATCTTGTCCCTGTGCATTGTTCCATTGATACTGGTAGCATCTAATCAAACTTTCCAACACTTCCATGAAAGAGGCAAGGATTCGCATTCCTGCTCTACAGATAAGGAAAGCAGAGCTATGAAATGTGCTGCCCAAAGCCATATGAGAAATTTGCATGACAGCAGAGCAAGGACTCATTTGATTATGCTGTTGCTTTACCCTTCCTTTTCTTAACAATCGTTTCATGCCAATGGATTTTTTAAAATGAGAAGCAAAAGGCAATGAGAGCATGATTTAAATAATCTTTCAAGTGTAAAGGGATGCAAGAATAGTTCTAAGGAAGCCTCCACTCCCAAGGAAGGCACAGCTTTGCCAATCACACCTGGCATAGTTCTTCTTCATCCCAGTTTTGCAGTGTTTTATTACTTTCTGTGAAAGTCCCTCTGTGGTTTAGAGTGGTGCATGAGACTACTGCTTGCAGACCAGGCTGATTTGAAACCGTGGGCTGAATTCAGAGGGATGTCCCTGAGCCCTGGGTTGGGTGAAGTAGGTCAGGCCATTTTCTGTTAGTAGATTTAACAGGAAACAAATCTATTCTGAATTGCTTCTGTGCCTCCTCACTGCTGTGGCCTGAAGTCAGCTGCTAATGTGTTTTCAGAGCTGTGCCTCCAGAGCCGCACAGGCTGCATTCCTCTTCTCTCCTCATCAGCCATGTCACCCTGAAGAAGTGGCATCTTACTCTTGCCCACACTGGCTTCCTGCGTGCCTTGAAGGTTGTATTTGTTTTGTCTACTGAAAAAACAGATTTTTACTACTGACAGCACTCCAGAACCACTAAAACTGAGGCAAAGGGAGTTGTTCTACTCTGCTTCATGCATCATTGCCAGTAGAATGACCAGCTAAGGCCTCTATGAGCTGCTGGCCTCTCTCCCTATCCCAGGAAGGGTTGGCATCATACACTGACCCTGGATCATGCCCTTTGCCTCCAGGTTTCATTTACTGCTGTTTTCAGCAAGCCTTGGAATAAACCAGTTTCTGTTCCCTCTGACCCAGCGGCCCCTGGCGGAGTTACTGGCAGCTCTTTCCCAGCCCTGCTGGCAGCCATTCCATCAAGAAATTCTTGGGCCATAAGTGACTTCTATCACTTCTACATCCCTCAAGCTTTCACGGCCTCTCCAGGAGCCCAGTGCACCTGAGGCAAGGCAGACACCCATGCTTGAGGAATTACTGAGCCCCAGCCTGCTCTGCTCAGAGCAGATCTGGGGCTTAAAGAGGCACAGAGAGGCTTAAAGAGACTCATTCCAGAAACATTTTGTGGTACAGGTAACTCAGTTGAGGAGGAAAAGGTCTTGTCTTCCAGCCCTTGTTTAGGGTCACAATTTTGAATGTGGAATCTTAAACATCTGGCATGGAATAGATGGAACATAAGCCTTATTAGCTTTGCTTTTTAGACCTAAGAGACTGGTAGTTAAAGAACTGGTTTCAAATGCCAGCTGAATAAAACTTAATTTATTATTAAAAAAAAATACAAGTGATTAGATGTAACTTCTGAATTTTTGCTTCTGTTCTGTGTCTGAGGTGTGGCTTCTCACTTATATCAAGGGACAACTTTTATGGCAAAGTTCAGCAATTAAAGTTTACCGGGGCCTAGGTGGAGGTAGAGACCTCAACTTGAATGCGAAAAAAAATTGTAATAAAACTCCAGCAGATCTTTGACTGACATTGTAGTAGCAAGTGTCACTGTGAGGCTCTTTCACAGTGTTAACCTTAGGTCAGTTTTCCATCTTTTTCATGTAATTTTTTTCACTTATGTATTATTTATAAAATGCCCTATATGTTCTGGAATAAAGCAAAGTTAAGAGTTCTTTTAAACTGAAAATTGGGAATGAAAATAGTTGAAAAAATATCCCTTTCGTAAAAACCACCCAATATTGGTAATATGATCTATGTACTGCTTTCATAATGAACCTAATTTTGAAGGTTAAGATTTAAACAAATGCATAAATAATTTAGGTGAAATGGCTTAGCTTCAGTCTCATTAAACTTAGGCTCCTAAGTGCCTAAATAGCCCGCAGCAATGGGATTCAAGCACTTCAGGAAATTTTACTCAAACCATAATAGAGCCTTACAGCCATCCTGCCTGCCACACCGTGTAAGTGCTCTTTGCGAGACAGTAATTCTGCCGTAGAAGTGGCATTTAGTATCAAATTTTAAATTGTTGTATGTATTTCCATTGAGGCACTTTCCATCTTTCCTGTATGGATTAAGGGCATAACTGGAAATTGCGTTTCTGATGAAGTCCTAGCGAACTCCCTAGAAAATCGCCAAGCAAGTGCACCGGAGAGAGCGGCGGGGCCGGGCAGTCTCCCGGAGCATCCGGCGTGGGAGCCGAGCAGCCGGGCTGGTCTCGGGGCTCCGCAGCTCGGTACGCGGGTCCCACGCGGCCGCAGCCCCGAGGTGCGCGCGGAGCCCGCGGGAGCCGCCTCCTCGCACCGCGGCACCGCCGGAGCTCTGCCCGCCGCTGCCGCCGCTGCCGCCGCCGCTGCCGCGCTCACCCCGGGGCGCGGGCGGCTCTTCCCGAGTTCCTCCGGCGCCGCGGGCATGCCGCCGCTCCGCGCTGTCCCGGCGCCCCCCGGCCCGCCCGCGGGCAGCCCCGGCCCGGCGCGGCGCCGCCAGCAGAGGGCTCGCTCCGCCCGGGAAGGCGCCCGGCGGCCCCGCGGGCGGGCAGCGCGCCCCGCGCCCATGTGCGCGCCTGGCCGGGCGGCCCCCGCGGCCGCGCAGCGCGGGCCGGGCCGGGCCGGGCCGGGCCGGGCCGGGCCGGGAGGGCGCGGGCTGCCCGCGGAGCACCGGGACAGCCGCTGCTCCCCGCGGGCGGCCGGGCCGCGCTCCTGCGCGGGGCGGGCGGGAGAGGCCGCGCTCCGCGCCCGCGAGAAGAGCGGCGCGGCGAAGCCGAGCCCGGAGCCCGCGGCGGCGGCCCGACGAGCGGGCCCCGGCCGGGCGGAGCTGCCGCGGCTGCCCCGAGCAGGGCAGCATCTCCCGGGGCGCGGCGGCTCGCGTGAGCGGCGGCGTGCGGAGGGCGGGGGGAGGCGGCGGCTCCCGCCTCAGCCTTCCCCAGCAGAGGGTGCCTGCGGTGGGAAGGGGGAAGCCTCACTCTCCTGCACTTTTGTGGGAGTGGGGGTTGTGTTGTGTGTGTGGGTTTTAAGGGGGGTGGGGTGGGTTAGGAGAGAGTCTGTGGTTTCCATGGAGATGAAGCTGAAAGTGCAGGAAATTTAAAGGCTTTGGGTCCTTGCGAAGCAGACAAACTGGTGCCAACGTGCGTGGCTACTGTTGCTGCTGAGGAGGCTGCTTTGCAAACGGCGGAGAGGAGCGGGGAGGAAGAATCGGCAGCCACTTCTTCCACACGCACGGGCAGACAACGAGGAGCGGCAGCCACAAGCAGAATTCGCAACAAAAAGAGGCATCTCCCGTTCCTGGGAAGGGCGAGAAGAAGCGGCGGCAGCAGCAGCGGAATTTTGGAGCGTCTCCATCCGGAGAAATTTTATAGAGAAGCCTGCAAGAGAGAGTGTTTGCAGGGGGCTTGTTCTCCGCGCTTATCAGGGGGCTGTCTTTGCTGGTGGTGCGGCGAGTGGAGATCGTGATTCCCTTCAAAGACGAGCTATTTTGGATATCCCCGTACAAGTTTTCTGATGTATTTGCTTGCACCTTCTTCCCTTGCTGTTTGGTGAATCCAGCCCCCCTTTCCCCCCCCTCCCCCCCCACCGGTCTCCCAAGGATGGATCATTCCCAGTGCCTTGTGACTATATACGCCTTGGTGGTTCTGCTGGGTCTCCGGCTAGAGCAGGGCGCCTGCCAGCACTATCTGCACATCCGACCGGCTCCCAGCGACAACTTGCCCTTGGTGGATCTAATCGAGCACCCGGACCCTATCTTTGACCCCAAGGAGAAGGATCTTAACGAGACCTTGCTAAGGAGCCTCATGGGCGGACACTTCGACCCCAACTTTATGGCTGTTTCTTTGCCCGAGGACCGGCTCGGAGTGGACGATCTAGCTGAGCTGGACTTGCTGCTCAGGCAGAGACCCTCGGGAGCGATGCCCAGCGAAATCAAAGGGCTGGAGTTCTACGATGGGCTGCAGCCGGGCAAGAAGCACAGGCTGAGCAAGAAGCTGCGCAGGAAGCTGCAGATGTGGCTTTGGTCCCAGACCTTCTGCCCGGTCCTATACACGTGGAACGATCTCGGCAGCCGCTTTTGGCCCCGGTATGTCAAAGTGGGCAGCTGCTACAGTAAAAGGTCTTGTTCAGTCCCCGAAGGCATGGTTTGCAAACCTGCCAAGTCCGTGCATTTAACGATCCTGAGGTGGAGGTGCCAGCGCCGGGGCGGGCAGAGATGCACATGGATACCCATCCAGTACCCCATCATTTCGGAGTGTAAGTGCTCCTGCTAGGGCTGGCACTTCCCTTCGCAACCCTTCTCCAGCGGACTCACGTGGACCTTTGCTGCAACAGAAATAAAAGACATTTGCTTTCTGGTTAACGTTGTAATGCACTGTAACGTGTAGGAGAATGTATATTGTGTGTATATATGGCACCGGTTTAATATACTATTAAAAGGTCAGTATTATACGTGAAATAATCAACGTCTACTGTATTTTCAAAACTATTACCCTGATCGTTGCTAATGTATTCTTTTTTTTTTTTTTTTTTTTTTTTTTTTTTTTTTTTTGTATTTATATTCCAGAGAGAAGTTGCTTCGCTTTGGCGAAGTAGGTTTTTTGTTGGGTGTTTTTTTAATAAAAGGATTAAAAAATACAAACCAAACTTTTTGATAAGAGAACTTTGATAATATTTTCCATTATTCGGAAAGCGTGTGTGTGAGGTTTTTTTTTGGTTTTTTGGTTTTTTTCTTTTTCCTTACGGACTTCAGATTTAAAATAAAAATGAATAAACGCCTAGAGCACAATGTTATTGTAAATAGAGAGAACAGTTTGAATGACTTAATCCTATGTAAATGAAGAGTAACTGCTATTTATTCTTTATATCCTTGTAGTAAAAGTGCAGTGCAGAATTAAAGTCAACCACTAAAACACGAGCCGTTTGGATTCTGTTTGCTTTTTGGTTTGGCCGCCGTCGGGGGGGCTTTCTTCTCTCTCCTCCTCGTTCTCCACGCTCAGCAGGACGCTTCGTGGTGGCAGGGGGAGGTGGGAACCTGCTCACGACTGTGTTAGAGGGGCTCTGCGGCACCTAGAGCGGCGGAGTGCCGCGGGCTCCGGCCCCGCACGATGGGGGCGGCCGGCAGGGGGGTCCCTCCGCTCCGCTCCGCTCCGCTCCGCTCCGCTCCGCTCCGCGCTGTGCCCGCCGAGCCGCTCCCGCGGCCGCGCAGCCCCGGCGAGCCCGGTGGCAGCTGCTGGGGGATTTTTCTTTTAACCGCTTGACATTTCATTTACAACGGGACACGTGTCTTTCACACCTACCATTGTGGTGGGACACTGCTGAAACTTGACCCCTGGGCTTTGGGGGGTTTCAGCGCAGACACGTTATTAGCCTGATCCTGTGACAGCCCCGCACACCGCCCGGCCCGGCCCGGTTAACTCTTTGGGTTCCCGCCAGCGCCGGGCCACCGCCACCCTGACGGGCTGCCCGGGGCTGCTGCGCTCGGGGGCTGCACCCCCTCGCTCGAGCCTCCTCTCCGCAGGCACCCGGGGAGCTCCGTGCCCTGCGGCCGGGGAGCTCCGTGCCCTGCAGCCGGGGAGCTCCGAGCCCTGCAGCCGGGGAGCTCCGAGCCCTGCGGCCGGGGAGCTCCGTGCCCTGCAGCCGGGGAGCAGCGAGCCCTGCAGCCGGGCCGCTCCGTGCCCTGCAGCCGGGGAGCTCCGAGCCCTGCAGCCGGGGAGCTCCGTGCCCTGCGGCCGGGCAGCTCCGTGCCCTGCGGCCGGGCCGCTCCGAGCCCTGCAGCCGGGGAGCTCCGAGCCCTGCAGCCGGGGAGCTCCGAGCCCTGCAGCCGGGGAGCTCCGTGCCCTGCAGCCGGGGAGCTCCGTGCCCTGCAGCCGGGGAGCTCCGAGCTCTGCAGCCGGGGAGCTCCGAGCCCTGCAGCCGGGGAGCTCCGTGCCCTGCGGCCGGGGAGCTCCGAGCCCTGCAGCCGGGGAGCTCCGTGCCCTGCAGCCGGGCCGCTCCGAGCCCCGCAGCCGGGGAGCTCCGAGCCCTGAAGCCGGGGAGCTCCGTGCCCTGCAGCCGGGCTGCTCCGAGCCCTGCGGCCGGGGAGCAGCGCGCCGTGCCGCCCGTGCTGCCGCGGGTGCCCGCGCTCCGCCGCCGCCCGCTCCCGGCCCGCCCCCCGGGGCCGCCCCCGCCCGCTGCCCGCGGTGCTGCGGAACGGAACGGCCCGGCCCGGCCCGGCCCGGCCCGGCCCGGCCCGGAACGGCCCGCGCGGCTCCGCGGCACCCGCAGCTGTCCCGCGGCTCCGTCGGGACTCGGCCCAATTAGAGACGTGTTGGACTTTGACGTGCTGGGAGAGCCGACGGTTCATATCTCATAGATACCAACGGCGAAAACAAACTCTCCACGTGTTCTTCAAAGGCTCCCTGACAGTGCAGAAAGCCTTTTCCTTATTTATCTTGGAGCCAAAAAAAAACTTCTTTTTTTTTTTTTTTTTTTTTATTTCTCCTCCAAGACTCGGAGGGAATCTATGTTAATCATTTTAAACCCGTGGGTCTTTCACAGAGACGAGCCAGCCCTGCTTTCTCTAATGCTTACTTCGGTATCTCCGAATGCATATTCATTCCCTCGCTCAGTCTCTCGGTGCGTTTTACCGCCCGTCTCTTTGCTCTAATTTCAATAGTTTTGGGAGGGGGGAAGAAAATCAGATCTTGGGACATTTAGGGTATTCATTAACCTAGTGAAGAGGAACAGAGGCATTATTACTCACATAGAAAGCACCCTGCCCCCATGTCTATCTAAGGGTTCATTGTAAAAGGATTAAAAGTTAAAGACCTTCATCTTATGATTCTTTCATTTAATCTTCGTGGCGCCTGAAAGACATGCTGGATGGATGATCACATTTAAAATATTCCTAATGTCGGCTACCTTAGGACTCCAGGCAGGGCAAACAAACGTAATTTATTTCCAGAAGAAAGGGTATATTGAGATGTTTAAGTTTATGAACCACCATTACCATGTATATTTGTTAGGTTCTGACAAATACCCAAATAACATTAAAATCAGCCATTCATCACATATGAATTTATGCAAAACCTTGTATGCCTGGGGCCAATATTTTTTTAGACAGAGTTTCACTTGCAAAAAAAAAAAAAAAAAAAAGTTTATTTAAAAAAAAAGCAAGAGTTTTTCATGACTGGTAAACACGAGAATTATGTGAACAGAAACTATTTCATGCTGGGATGGCAGCCAGGGACTCGGGAATGTCAACAAAAGTTCTCCGAAGGTTGAAAATGTCACTGGATTACAATACAAGGTCCTTTGCCCCATTAGCAAACTTTGCTAAAGTAATATTTCCACTACTTAGCAAGAGGCTCACCCAGTGATTTATCTGTCTGTGATCCCAGCAATGGGGCAAACAGGGACTTCATCTGGAAACCATCTCTGACTGCTGGCTTCAAGATTTCAAAATTTGTATGTGTGCAGAGATGAGTGTGTATTGGTGACTGTTACTCTGAGTGTAAAAGAAGTGTGCTGTTAATGTAGTCTAAATATTTATCACCATATCTGTCTTAATTTTAATCCAAGGGTCATTGTTACCCGTGAGTCATGTGTACATACATGCTTTCTCAACCAATAACACCCTGTTAATAAGTTCATGAGAATATTTGGGGTTTTAAAAAATCAAGTTTCACCATCCATAAGGCCCATGATTTTTTTTTTAATAAATAGCTACATTTTGTCAGCTGGTAGATCAAAAGTAAACTGGTAGTTTTCACTGTTGTTTCTGGTCAGGTCCACTTTCTGGTCCTCCTGCCCTAGTGTTGAAATGTTTGGCTTGTAGTGGAAGTGTTTCAAGCCAAACAAATAAAATTTCTTTCTGATGAATGTTTCTATGCAAATCTATTTAATATTAGATTTTGTAATATGTTTTTGTAGCAAAATTGAATTATAGCTCTTTTAAATAGAAATCAATTCATAACACAGCCAGTTTTTCTTTGCTGATCTTTGTAGTGGCATCATACGACTGCACAAAGACCACTATGGAGAAGAAATAAGGGGAAAGTTTAAAGCTTGATTTTAGATACTCTGCAGTTTCTTCTTTTGCAATTTTAGTGTCTTAAAGCATAATAATGGGAATTTCAATTAATTTCTGTGTCTGCCATAGGCTCAGATGAGTCATTTAACCTGTGTGCTGCAGTTCTTTGTGAGGAGAACAGGACTTCTTCTTTGCTACTGTAGTCAGTCTTTATCAGAATAATCTCTCACGCCACATGTTTATTCAAAATCTAGTAAATTTAAGGCCCAGTGTTCAAGGGAGGGTCCTCTTCCTCTATGGCATTGCATTTAGCATCCAAGCCATTGTCTTTGCCAGTGCACAG